CGTGCCGATATTCAATACTTCGGACAGCAGCTTTGGATACGAGGGGCGTATCGTGTTGACTGCAATTGGCCCAATTCCTCCCTCTTCTTTTTAAGTACACAAAGTGTTGCACAAAAAAGAAAAGGTTAATTTATCAGGGAAAGGGAAACCCAAAGGAAATTTTTGGAACCCTTTTGATCTCTGAAGCAGTGTTCTGCAATTTCCCCCAATAACTGGATTTAAACCCTTTTTTTTTTTTAAAGCTGTGGGCCCTTTTCCGTGTAACCCCCCGCAGAGCCCGATGGGAACGACATTATTGCTTTGTAATGTCGAGTCTTCCCCCAACAATGGTTCCATAGTGGGGAAGGGGGGTTTGGAAAATTTGGTGCCCCTGGTTTCCTGGCAGGGGGTTTTCTTAAGGCTTAGCCGTGTCAGCATCCCCGGGGGCAAAATGTTTTTTCACTGTTAAAAAATTCTGATTGCCCCCCCTGTGTTGCCCCCTTCAATTTTTTTGCCACCCGGACTCTGACTTTTTTACTGTCGTAGAGGGAGTGGGGGTTTGCCTCTCCTTTTTTTTTTGTTGACGGGGAAGGCGAAAGAGGTTATCAACTTAGGAAAATTCTTTAAGGGTTTAATTATATTGAGGGGTAGCCTTTTTCCTTCTTTCCCGGCACAGCTAAAAAAACATTGCCAAAAGGCAGTTGTGCCATGCCTTTATGGTTGGTGGAGCATTTAAGATGTGGGAAACCTCGTTTACTTTTTTCGGAAGGGCTGTAAGTTTCCGTGGTGTGGAGGGCTGCTTTGGGAATATGTGGAGTGTCCTCGTACCCGTTGCTTTTAAATTTCTTCCAAAATATTGTTGATGAGATGAGATTGTTTGGGGGGGTTAGGTGCCCGAGGTGGTTGGATCATCACTTTCACAGGAGGACTCCCGAACCCCGGGCAATACCGTGTTTGGGAGGAAACCTTAGGGTTGAGGAAAAAAAGGCTGTAAGCAGACCCACACTAGCCTCTCTAGTATTGCCCGCCCCTGGCATTTCCTGGTGCTTGGGTTCCCCCTGGTTGGCATCCATTTCTAGACTAGGGGAATGGAGTGGAAAATGCATGCTGGGTGGGTATGGCCGTGGTGGCCCGGTGGAGTTTGGGGTGGGGGAGGGGGGAGAGGAAAAAGGAAAAATTCCCCTGGGAATTGGTGGGGGGGGCGCGGTTGTTGAGTGGGGTTATCCCCGGGGAGTACAATACACTGGACTTGACCCATATATTGTTCCACTGTCTTACAATAACGTAATTATATATAAAATATATATATTATAATTTATATATAATAATATATATTTTATATATATTTATATATATATTATATATTTTATAGGGAAGTTGCCTAATTTTTGGCAACTACTTTTAAAAATTGAACAAATGTTACACGACCTATGGGCTGCTGCACCTTCCCGCCAACGATTTATAAACTCCTTTTCAGCACGTATGCCGTATTCTATTCAAGATTGATGGATGACCCAAAACGATCAAGGGTTTAGGGGCTGATTTCCTCTTCTCCTCCTGTTCTTCAAAATTTCCTTTGTATGGGCTGATGAACCACTGTGTGGCGAAACGTTTCCCTCAATAAAGATCCCCAAAGGGAGTTGACATGTTTTAAAATTTTCATATTTTTATAATAAAATATATTTATATATATATATATTATATTAATATATTTTATAAAATATATATATTTTTAAATTTTATATATATTATATATATATTATATATATATTTTATATAATTTTGGGAATATTTTTATAAAATATATATATTATATTATATATAAATATATATATTTTATATATATATTTTATATATATATAAAATTTATATATATAAAATTTTATATTTTTATTTTAAATTTATTAAATTATATATATATATATATAAAATATTTTTTTATTATATATATATTTCAAATTATATATATATATTTATATATTATATATATAAATATTAATATATGCAATAAGTTCACAGTAAACAGGTGTTTCGGGAATTTTGCAAAACAACCATCTGAAAGAATAGAAAAATTTCCCAAAGCGCTTTCGGGGACTACTCACTTTAAACAAGGAACTATTTAGTTCCTTGAAAAATGGAGTTTTCCGAAAGCGTTTGGGAATTTTTTTAAAATTCTTTCAGAGGGGTTGTTTTTTATATATATTATTTTTATATATATATAAATATATATATAAAATATATATTTTTTATATATAAATATTATATAATTTATTTTATATATATTATATTTATATATATTTATTGCGGGGGAAAGAGAGAGAGAGAGATTGGAGATAAAAAAAAAAATACAAAAATAAAAAAAAAGAGATTTTTTTTAGAGAAAAAACGAAAACTATGGTCTTGTTTTTGTCTAACAAATGCATCATAATTATTTACTGACAACTCAAAGGACGTTCATCAAGGAAATTTAATAAGCTTTCTCCTACAAAGCGGAAAATATAGATGATAGGTAAGGTCGCAGGTGTCAAAGGTTGCACACAAGCACAGCTGTAGACGCACTTGTAGGTGTCATTGTTCGGCCTGACGAACAAAGACAATGGGGCTTTTTATGTCTGTAAACCATTGTGCGGGTCATAGTTAATTAACACTGTGTCTGTCATTAGAAGATGACCTTTAATGATATGGGAAATGATGCTAGTGTGTGTGTGTGTGTGTGTGTGTGTGTTAGCGTGAAACTTACTGTAGCACCGGATTCTAGGTTGTAACGCACCTCCTTCACCTGGGTATGGTGTGTCTCCACTAAGCTAGGAGATGCTCATTAGAGGAGCATCTCCTAGCTCCAAGGAGACACACCTTTTCTGTACCAACGTCTCCTCTACCACACACTTGAATCTTTGCATCACAACAGTGAACAGGCTCCCAGAAGGGTCACGTTTCACAATAAAAACCTTAAGTGTCTACACACGTGCTATTTCCTCATTAAAACAGTACTTATTTTATTCTTCAGTAATAAAGATGGTCTTCCTTCTTTCTTAAAATACTGACATATTCTCTCACATACAATAAATTATGCATGAGCATCTAATAAGAACATAAGAAGAACATAAAAAAGAAGGAACACTGCAACACGCCTACTGACCCATGCGGAGCAGGTCCATGTCCCCCCTCCCCGGATTATCCCAATGACCCACCCAGTCTGGTCATCTCCACTCAAGGATGGAGCACTGTACCAGACCCAGCAGCACAAGCTAGTCAAAGGTCTAACTCACACCCACCCAAACCCACTCATGTATTTATCTAACCTATTTTTAAAACTACACAACGTTTTAGCCTCAATAACTGTACTCGGGAGTTTGTTCCACTAATCCACAACTCTATTACCAAACCAGTGCTTTCCTATATCCTTCCTGAATCTGAATTTTTCCAACTTGAAACTATTGCTGCGAGTCCTGTCTTGCCTGGAAATTTTCAGCACACTATTTACATCCCCTTTATTTATTCCTGTTTTCCATTTATACACCTCGATCATATTCCCCTAATTCTACGCCTTTCGAGAGAGTGCAGATTCAGGGCCTTCAGTCTATCCTCATAGGGAAGATTTCTGATACATGGGATCATCTTTGTCACCTTCCTTTGTACATTTTCCAGAGCATTTATATCCATTCTGTAATACGGTGACCAGAACTGAGCAGCATAGTCTAAATGAGGCCTAACCAAGGATATATAGAGTTGAAGAACAACCTGAGGACTTCTATTATTTATACTTCTAGATATGAAGCCAAGAATTCTGTTAGCTTTATTGCGAACACTAATGCACTGTTGTCTTGGTTTTAGGTTACTGCTAACCAGAACTCCTAAATCTTTTTCGCAATCAGTAGTATTAAGATCTACAATTATTTAGTTTATATGTGTCATGGTTATTTAACTGTCCAACATTTAGAACTTTGCATTTGTCAATATTAAACTGCATCTGCCACTTCTCCGACCATTGCGTCAGTCTATTCAAATCATCCTGGAGTGCTCTAGTGTCCTCATTAGAATGAATTGGACGGTCTATTTTGGTGTCATCAGCAAATTTTCTTATGTCGCTATTTATTCCCTCATCTATGTCGTTTATGTAAATTGTGAACAACAACGGGCCCAACACTGTCCCCTGAGGAACACCGCTTGTGACGTGCCCCCATTTTGATTTCTCCCCATTTATGCAAACTCTCTGCTGTCTATTTGTCAGCCATGCCTCTACCCAGGAAAAAAATTCTCCTCCTATTCCGTGTGCCTTAAGTTTCCTCAATAGCCTCTGGTGTGGAACTCTATCGAAAGCCTTACTGAAGTCCATATACACAATATCATATTCATTACCATGATCTACCTCCTCAAACACCTTAGTGAAAAAAGTTAGTAAATTCGTAAGACAGGAACGCCCCTTTGTAAAACCGTGTTGAGATTCATTAACCAATCTGTGCCTGTCAAGATGGCTACGAATTGCTTCGGCAATTATTGATTCCATAAATTTTCCCACTATGGAGGTAAGGCTTATTGGTCTATAGTTCGAAGCCAAGATTACTTGTATAATATATCTATTACTATGTGGTGGATTTATTTACAGATTACAATATGATGAGGTGGATTAACTTACAGATTATATTATAATATGATGGATTTACTTACAGGTTACATTTTAATGTTGTGGATTAATTTACATATTACATTATAATATGATATATTAACTTGTTGATATTATTATCATATTATAATGTGATAAATTGACTTACAGATATAATAAAAAATTCCTTTGATTTGTTTAATTACATTTTAAAATATGATATTTGTAACAATAATGTGATATACCCTAAGGATAAGTGTGTATACAAGTACATAACAGTGTATATATATTGAAAGGTGTTCATCTCCTAGTGTATATACACTTGAGAGATGACTTCATACACTAGTAATGATTTTATTACCTGTATTTATTATTATTATTATTATTATTATTATTATTATTATTATTATTATTATTATTATTATTAATTAGTAGTAGTAGTAGTAGTAGTACTAGTAGTAGTGGTAGTTGTAGTAGTAGTAGTAGTGGTGGTAGAAGTAGTAGTAGTAGTAGTAGTAGTAGTAGTAGTAGTAGTAGTATATTTACCAGACTATGCTAAACCGGGTGTCAGAGTGAATTATGGCCCTAACTGTAATCTACAGGTGTTAGCATAGCACACGATCGCGCGTATATTAATTCTATCACAATCAATTACGAAAATAAAACCTGCAGTTAATATGGATTGGTCTAGGTAATTACACAGATTTAACAATAGCAATCAATCATCGTAACTTGATTATATTTTTTATTTTCTTTAACGGGATTTTTTATGTATGTTCAATGTCATAAACTTTTTATGACGGTGAAAATGCTCAGTCCAATCTGATTTCCTGAGCTGCTGCCGTCTTTGAATTGATTGCTTAATAACCAGAGTAAGCTGTACATTCAGGCAATAATGTTTTTTTTAAATGAAGGACGCTTAGAAGACCATAACTAAATGGTAGGTCAGAAGGTTATAAGTTATTTATTGGAATCTCCTGACATGCAGTTCCTTCAATGATGTTAGCTAAGATGCTGGTCTCGTTCAGGTGAGCAGCATCCAGCATCTCCTGTGACGTTGAAGACTGCCGGATGCGAGAAGCGTTCTGGCGAAGTAGGTTCTCCCAGTAGTCGATCTGTTTCAGTTTCTGCAGCGCAAGTGTCTTCATGGACTCGATGGATGTTAGAAGCGAGGCTTCCTCGTACATCTGGCACCTCAGGCTGTTGATGTTAGCGTCGTGTTCCTTAATACTGCTGTCTGACTCATCCACCAGCTTCCGCAACTCCTCCCGGAAGTGGTCCAGTGTGTCCACTCTGGAGTTAAGGAATTCTGTTTGGGTCATCTTCATATGCACAATAGCGTCGGGTGCAGAGATGAGGTGACATCGACCCTGAGGAGGCTGGCAGTGTGCCACATCCAGGCATTCGTCACACGCCCACTCTTCACATGACGTGCAGTACAAGTGCAGCAAAGAGCCGTGGGTATCACACAAGCTCACGCCCAGACGAGCCTCGTGGATATCATTTTTATTGTCACCTCCATAACCAGCAAGTTTAGAATTGGTGGGACTGTCATGCTCAGCTAAATTGGTTCCACCATGTTGTGTTTGTGACATCACTGACGCATCCTGGGTCTTTTGCAGCAGTTCATCCGTCTGAAGTGAGTCCAAATTTGTCTCAACTTTAAATGGATCTATTCTGGGCAAAAAACTCCTTGATACCGTCACTGTGTTCGGGCCGTCAACACTGTCTGCGTCGGTCTCAGAGCACTGCAACAAACTTGTCTTTTGGCTGCTCTCATTTGTCACCGTTTCTTCATGTTTTCTACCATTAAGTGTTTTAGTTTTATCACACACGGGAGTATACAGTGCCATCTTTACCTCGGGATCAGAAGCTGTATTTCGAAGGTAACAATGTTTTTGACCATCGGCGCGTAGATTTTCGTGGGTCACATTAAGGCCATCGAGATCAGCGGACTCTTTACAACTTGTAGAAGTTGCTGCCATCTCTGTCTTACTAGTAATAAAAATATTAGAATTACTCTCATCATCACAGTGACTGTTCCTTGACTGAACAGGTTTCTGTCCTCGTCTGGCTGATAGCAGTGACATTTCTTTTGATGTCTCTTCGCTCGTAACCCCTTTATGATTCGAGTGACGGGAGCTCATCTTTAAAGGGAAAGAGTCTCTTCTTTGGTTTGTCAACGGAGGATCAGTACTAGTGGTGTTCCGTAGCTGGTGACGGTCTCGAGGCAGGGCAAGAGCCCTACTGCTGTTAGCTTCCCTTTCTGAGGTTTCGTCAGTGGTGATAGAATTCTTCCTTAACCTCGCCGTCAGAGAGGATTTCAGTCTAGCATTCCTAGCACGCCATATATCCTGAACGCTATCCCTGACCACTGTGTGAGAAAGATTTCGTTTCTGGGTTCTAGCAACCAGTGTTTTATTGCCTTGTGATGGAGCGGGGTTGCTGTCAGTGATCACTGTATGAGAGTCACTTCGAGTTGGACGAGTAAGCAGGTTATTATAATAGTTCTTTTTAATAACACTGGAATGTATCCCATCTTCATTCGGAGTTTTCTCTCTGGTGTTGGCAGCAGTTCGTAATCTATTTCTGCCATATTCAACAGTATGAGAATTAACCTCGTGATGGACATCCAATGTTTGTTTTTTAATTTCTAGTCTACTTCTTGAATGTGCTAATAACAACGTTTCATGTCTTTGTGGAGAGTTTTCTTCTTCACTTTCTTCTTCCTCCGTGTCTTCCTCAGTGTTTCCTCCGTGTCTTCCTCAGTGTCTTCATCATCAGCCTCACTCTGAACACTTGGCACACTTCCTACCTGAAGTTCGGCGAGCTTATCTGTACCACTCATTCGCGAGTATAATATTCTACTGTCCTCTCGGCCAGTATCTGAAGGTTTTCGTTTGTATCTAGAGTTGGACAGCTTAAGACTATTCGTTGTTGCGCTGAGTTGCATTTCCTGAGGAAAAGTTGTTGTTACCAACTCTGAAGTATTCGACGCGGTACTTGAACTGTTGCTCAAGCCACTTCCGTACGACTTTACATATTTATCTCGTGGCCGGTGGTCAGACTTGACCTGTCGTATCTCGACTGCTTTTGCGAGAGTTGTGCTGGTGCTGGCCGACACATTATCAATGATCGGGGGAGGAGAAGTAGGCAAGCACGTCTTTAAGTCAAGAGGATATGAAGATCCAGCCGAAGCACGCTGAGTCAACACTTTCAGTTGCACTAGCTCTCTGACTATTGATTCGCATTAGATTTTCATGCGACTGGGTGATGGAACCTTCTTGTTGACCTTCAGCTGTCGTTCCCTCTCCAGCCGAATAGCTTAAGCTATTTCTCTCGTCAGTGGATGAGATTTTACCCTCATTCTCTGATTTACTCATTTCTAAACGTAATTTTGTCAGTTTCGAATTTGGATTAAGCAAAAGCGATACCTCTTCAGAGCCATCAGCCATATCTTTACCTAGTTGTTGATGCGTGATAGAGTCCTCTTCTCCACTTAATGTCCTTGACAAGAAACTTGTCCGAGACCGCAGACGTGCTCTTAAGGACGTTGATGAGTGATCCAGAACTTTGTATCAAGATCGTTAAGTGTCCTCTCATGGTCATCCGATCTTTCTTTGGGCGATCGCTGACCCACTGTCGAATTTTCGTCAGTCTCCTCTCTGATGGTTTCTGATACGAAATTTGTTCGAGCTAGCAAATGAGATCCGAGTGAAGTGGAACGGGTTAATTTCCCGACCTCCCTCGAAGTTACTCTGGTCTTTGATTCATCAGTGGTTTCAGGGCCTGTTGACATACTACGCAAGAGGCTGCTTCTCACCTCCGTTTTTGATGTATCAACCTCCTCTGTCTTGGTTGGGTGAAAAAGAGTGGCTGTTACAGGCTTATCAGAAGTCCCGGGAACATCTTGTCGACGAATAGAGATATCAGGTTCAGGCTGTCGCTGTTTTTTGCTTGATACATCTGTGATTTCCTGCACTAGAGGTTCCATATCTGAGCTAATTAGAGAAGCAGAGCTTTTGCTGCCTAGTTCCTGTAACTTCTTTCTTCTTTGATAGAGAAGAAGAATAAGTCCCTTTTGGAGGATGTCGAGCCACAGTTTGATCTTCCATCACAGCGTTTGACTCAATTTCTGTATTTCCGTCACCATGTGTCGTTGGGTCTGTTCTGAAGCTTCGTAGACGAGCTAACGAAGAGTCCTTCCTGAGGTGACGTGAACGTGATGACAAACGTGAAGTAGACAATGTTTCACGGTTCTCTGTACAGTTGCCAGAGGATGAATTGTCAGTACTAGAAGAACTGGATGTCGCCTCACGAACTGACCGTTGACGAGACTTTGTTGTTATAGAGCGACACATATTCAACACATGACTCGGAGTACTGGAAGCGGTACCTTTGTGTTTTCCTTGACCTTTGTTTGGGCTTTCCAGCACTGAAGTTATCTGAACCCAGTTGTCTGTCGGATGCACTTATGTTATCTTCTCTTATTTGTGCTTGTTTTTCTTCAGAAGGAGCGTGAAGCTTTGCATTAAATTTAGAGAGGCTTGGCACTGATCCTTGAGAAGTAATAGAGACCTCTGAGTCAGGTTGTGCTGATGACACGGGACAACTGATAGCCGAGTCTGGTTGCTCAATAGTCTTAGAGTCAGCTAGCCTTTGGTCCTGATTTGCGATCTTCGATACTCTGCTTGTCAAAGGTAACCGAACTGAGCTTATGTCTTTAGCAGGAGTACACTTTAATTCTGGGTGCATTTTGGTAAGGGAATCACTGCGTGAAGTGTTATGTCGACTATGAGAAGAAACAACGTAACTTTGCTCTGCTTCTGTTTTTGCTGAATTTTTGAAAGATAATTCTGACGTAGTGAGAGGTGAAGATCTTTTCTTCTTCAGCTCACCATGGAGGCTACGCACACCTTCTTCGCTTGATCTTACGTCATCATTATTTGATTCTAAAGATGCTTTGGATTCCCGATTTCCAATGCTGAATCGAGTTCTTATGGTCGGAAACTTGTAAGTAAGTGCTGGTGGCCTACTTGATGGTTCTTCTTTATTAAGGATTCTCATTAAGACTGACGAGCGTGGTGAGTCGGTTTCATCTCTATTTACTATAGCATTATCACAAAATTTCTCTTTTTCAAGGAAAGAAGAACCTAACCGTGAGTCTGAGGGACTAGAAAGAGACCTAGTTACAGCAGGAGCTGAAGAGAATCTTGGTGTTAGACTGGAAGTGGTTATTGTGACTGTGTCTATCGGAGGGAAAAAATAATTCTTGGTAATCTGAGGAGCACCCGAGGAAAGATCCTTTTGACTATATTCCGTAGCTGACAATAACCTCGAACTGTATGTCTGGAGATCAAATGGTGACGAATCAGTGCTCGAAGATTTGGAAGGGAAGCCAGACGTGTTATAAGTTGGTAGACTGGATGATGAGGTAGAGCTCAGTGACTTCGAATCGTCGTGGTTCGAAGCGCTGAGAGTTTGCATATTGGATGACGACGATGCAGAATTAACAAATCTGGAATCGTGACTTGAAGCTCCGGAAGAATGCCGGGTAGATGACGACGAATCAGCGTTCTGGAGCTTCAAATTGTATGCAGGAGTTCCAGGAGTCTTCAGAGAACCTGCATCGTCTGCCCTGGCAGAGCATCGCCTGAGAAGAGCGTAGTCTGTGGGCAGTTGAGCGGCAGAGGTGGCGATGAATGGGCGGCCACAGGAGCTGCAACGCCGCCTGCCACTGACGATGGCTCGGTCTAGACACTTCGTGCAGAAAGTGTGACCACAGAAGAGGCTTCGGGGACACCTCTCGCCGCTGCCATAACTTTGCCGGCACTCCTGGCACTCCAGCTGGTTCTCGTCCATCTACCTGCAACATAACACCAGCAGCATATACCAGCACACCAATAGTATATACCAGCACACTAACACAAGAACATAAGAAAGGAGGAACACTGCGACAGGCCTACTGGTCCATGCGAAGCAGATCAGTTGTCCTACCGGCTTAAGCCAAAGCCTTAACCTAGTCAGATCAGTCACGTTCACTTAAGGAAAGAGCACGGCATCTGCCCTAGTAGCACAAACTAGACAGGTCAAACTCACACCCACCCACACCCACTCATGTACTTATCTAACCTATTTTTAAAACTACACAACGTCTTAGCCTCTGCGACGGTACTCGGGAGTTTGAGAGTAAGACACATGTGCAACATCTGGGTATCTTTATTGTAGACGTTTCGCCATCCAGTGGCTTTATCAATACAAATTCTAGGACATAACTTGAAGACAGTAGAACTATGTACAGAAGATGAGGTAATCAGTCCCTCAACCTAGGAGTAGGTGCGAACAGCACCATAGTCGTGGAGATTCTGAAGAATCTCCACGAGTTTGTTCCACTCATCCACAACTCTATTACCAAACCAGTGCTTTACTATATCCTTCTTGAATCTGAATTTTTCTAGCTTAAAGCCTTTGCTGCGAGTCCTATCTAGGCTAGATATTTTTTAGCACACTATTTACATCCCCTTTATTAATTCCTGTTTTCCATTTATACACCTCAATCATATCCACCCTAATTCTACGCCTTTCTAGAGAGTGCAGATTCAGGGACCTCAGTCTATCCTCATAGGGAAGATTTTTGATACATGGGATCAACTTTGTCATCCTCCTTTGTACTTTTTCCACTGCATTTTTATCCATTCTGTAATACGGTGACCAGAACCGTGCAGCATAATCTAAATGAGACCTAACCAACGATATATAGAGTTGAAGAACAACCTGAGGACTTCTATTGTTTATACTTCTTGATATGAAGCCAAGGATTCTGTTAGCTTTATTGCGTATACTTATGCACTGTTGTCTTGGTTTCAGATTACTGCTGGCCAAAACTCCGAAATCTTTCTCGCAATCAGTAAAATTAAGATCTACATTATTTATTTTACATGTGGTATGGATATTTTCCTGTCCATCTATCCATTTGTCTATATTAAACTGCATCTGCCACTTCTCCGACCACTGCGTCAGTCTATTCAAAATATCCTGGAGTGCTCTAATATCCTCATTAGAATGAATTGGACGGTCTATTTTGGTGTCATCAGCAAATTTGCTTATGTCGCTATTTATTCCCTCATCTATGTCATTTATGAAAATTGTGAACAACAACGGGCCCAACACTGACCCCTGTGGAACACCGCTTGTGACGTGCACCCATTTTGATTTCTTCCCATTTATGCAAACTCTCTATTGCCTATTTGTCAACCACGCCTCTACCCAGGAAAAATTTCTCCTCATATTCCATGTGCCTTAAGTTTCCTCAATAGCCTCTGGTGTGGAACTCTATCGAAAGCCTCAATGAAATCCATTTAAAAAATATCATATTCATTACCACGATCTAACTCTTCAAATACCTTAGTGAAAAAAGTTAGTAAATTCGTAAAACAGGAACGCCCCTTTGTAAAACCGTGCTGTGATTCATTAATCAATTTATGCCTTTCAAGATAGCTACGAATTGCCTCGGCAATTATTGATTCAATAAATTTTCCCACTCTGGAGGTAAGGCTTACTCCTCTTTACATTTCTTTAAATCCCTTGCAAACAGTTCATTAGGGCCTGGGGATTTGTTAGGCTTTAATTTTTCTGTCTGATGACCATGTCGCTAGTTAACCCAATCTTGCATAGTTTATTATCGTCCTGTTCTACATCATTTATTATTTCTAGAATTTTGCTAGTATCTTCCTGAGTAAAAACTGACAGGAAGTAAGTGTTGAAAAGTTCACATATTTCCCTATCACTGTCAGTGATCTGACCTGAGTTACTATCTTAAGTGGGCCCATCTTGTCCCAAATCCTATTTCTTAGCCCCTTGAAGTTAGCCAAGCGAAAGTCTGGTAAAGAGACTTGAGTGCAGTTATCTGGGTAATTCCATGATATATTGAAACTAAGTGATTTGTGATCACTTTCCCCAAGCTCATCATTAACCTCAAGATTATTAATTAGTGAATCTTTGTTGGCAAGAACCAAGTCAAGCAGGTTGTTTTCTCTAGTTGGTTCTGTCACAAACTTTTTTAAAAAGCAATCCTGAACTGTATCAAGAAGGTCACTAGACTCAAGATTTCCTGTCACATTGTTCCAATCAATTTGTCTAAAGTTAAAATCTCCCATTAACACAACATTTTCTTAAGTAGACGCCTTATGAATTTCGCCCCAAAGCTGCTTACTGAGCTCCCTATCAAGGCTTGGGGGCCTATAAATCACACCCAGAATTAATTTTTAACAACCCTCGAGAAACTGTAGCCAAACAGATTCTGTGTCTGATGTTTCTAATCTTATATCTTGTCTAACACAACAATTAAAATTATCTCTGACATACATCGCCACTCCACCACCCTTCCTGTTGACCCTATCAGTGTGGAATAGTTTATAACCCTGTATGTTGCACTCAGAAGGCATTTCACTATCTTTCAAGTTGAACCAGGTCTCTGTTATACCAATAATATCTATATTACCTGCTCTTGCAAGTAATCTTAGCTCATCTGTCTTATTTCTTAGGCTCCTATTATTTGTATAGTAAACCTTAACTATACTAGCAACTTTATTTTGAATATTATCTTTTAAATATATCCCTGAGACATCCTGGTAATAGCTACTGTTTTCACCCCTAATACCGCAGCCTGATTGTTTCTACAGACACCCAAACCTTTATAATCAATCAGTTTAAAGTCCTAGACAAGTCATCTATGGCCCCCTCAATCGAATTGGCTAATGCAACCACTCCCACCCCAGAGAGATGAACCCCATCCCTTGCATACATATCGTGTTTGCCATAGAATTTGTCCCAGTTATCAATGAATGGGACTGCAAGTTTCTTGCAGTACCTGTCAAGTCAGCAATATATACCAATTGCCCTAGACATCCATTCAGTGCTCACTCCCTTTTTAGGCAAGATGCTACTTATGATTGGGATCCCTCCCCTAGACTTGACTACATCTATGGCTGACCTGTAATTATCCAGCAGCTCCTGTCTCCTACCCTTCCCGATGTCATTTCCACCAGCACTAAGACAGATAATGGGCTTGTTCCCATTACCTGACATAATATTATCCAACCTGCTGACAATGTCATCAATACCAGCTCCTGGGAGGCATACCCTCTCTCTGATTTTCTTATCTCTTTTACAAAAAGTACAGTCCATATATCTTACCTGAGAGTCTCCCACAATCAGAATATTCCCTCCCTGATTAGCAGGGTAGTCAGTGGTACCTTTAACCTCGCTAACTACTGAAGTACACTCATCCTGGAGAACGGAGAATCGATTTCGTACCTTCACGTTATCTCTATTAACCTTTATTTTCCTTCTTCCTGAATTGTGACCCACTTGCCACTTAAAGCAGCTGACACTCCCCACTTCACTGCTGGTAGCCATTTCCTCCTTACCAGCTCCAACCATCTCACATTCACTCCCTAACCTATCTAGGCGAAGCAACAGCCTCCTATTTTCCTCCTGAAGAAGTAGAACCTTCTTCTTCAACACTTTAACATGAGATTCTAAAGCACTGCAGCAAGCCATGGTGCTCAGTAACACCCCTTGCTAATTCCCAGACAGCATAGGCCAGGTGACATCACGTTATCTCTGACTGCAGCTTACTGACCTCTGATCGCTCAATACAGTATATACCAGCACAGCAACAGTATATATAAACACACTAATAGTATATACCAGCACACTAATAGTATATACCAGCACACCAACAGTATATACCACCTCAACAACAGTATACCAGCACAACAATAGTATATACGAGCTCAACAACAGTATATATACGAGCTCAACACAGTATATTCCAGCACACCAACAGTATATACCAGCACACTAGCAATATATACCAGCACACCAACAGTATATACCAGCTCAACACAGTATATACTAGCACACCAACAGTTTATAGGAGCACACTAACTGTATATACCAGCACACCAACAGTTTATAGGAGCACACTAACTGTATATACCAGCACACCAACAGTATTTGCCAGCACAACAACAGTATATTCCAGCAGAACAACAGCATATTCCAGCACAACAACAGTATATATTAGTTCAATAACAGCTAATACCAGATCAACAACAGTATATACCATATTAAAAACTGTATATACCAGCACATCAACAATATATACATCAAAATAACAGCATTCTAACGTGAATGACAGGTTAACTGTGCATGATAGAATATAACAGCAGAATAGAACACAACATAACAGCAGTATAAAATACAACTTAACAGCAGTATAAAATACAACATAACAACAGAATAAAATACAACTTAACAGCAGTATAAAATACAACATAACAGCAGTATAAAATACAACTTAACAGCAGTATAAAATACAACTTAACAGCAGTATAAAATACAACATAACAACA